GAGAGAGAAAAAAAAGTTAAGAGCGTTAAGTGGTTTGTAAAATGAAGCAAAACATCAACCAAAGTGGAGGATGTGTTTGCCGGACTTGCTCCGTTTTGCTGCGGGCTCATTTTATGTAGAAATACTGGCAGTCCTACAACTCAAACATCAAAGTACTGGAACATAAGTGGGACCGACTATAACATTGAACCATCGTTACTAAGTAACATGGTGCGAACGCGCATAAGTTTTGGCTCAAAAATTAACTCGGTAATCACAAAAATTTTTTTTCGTATCAAACAGTAATGCAGTGTGCACTTTTAACAGCAGTTTTCCTCCGGGTATGTTTTGCACAAGTGTTAGCTGGATAGGGTTGCACGAAATGCATGATCCCACTAGCTGCCCTGGTGCACGCCTCTATTTATTTTTTCTTTTTTTATAGACTAATTACAATGACGATCACCTTTCAAATTTGGTTTTTCAACGGGCACTGGTAGAAGCACATGAGACAACTAAAAAGCGTCTACAAACGGAACCACGGATAAAGAAAAGAGTGGCTAGGCAGCAGTGGAGAAAAAAAGAAGTTGACTTGCAGCAGTCGAAGAAGGAAGAAGTGGGCACACAGCAGTCGAAGATGAAAGAGGCAGGGTCTTCGTACTTTGGCAATTTTAACACTGTTCAAGCTAGATCACCTCATGTTATTTAAACTTGAGATAAATGCGACAATAGCAGTCGAATGTGTCGACAGGAGCGGTTAACGCCTGGGTAATCATCACGAACATACGTTTTTGCATAAATTTATCAAGTAAATGTTTAGTGTGGGTTGACGTTTGAATATTCGGCTCGGAGCCGAATTATAACTTTCTGTATGTCAAGACATAGGAGAAGAGGAGCGAAAAAATTGGTTTTAGATTCCCGAAACTGTATAAGGCCGAAAAATTTGAGTGGTTGTTATCGGCTTTCTTTGACTTGCAGAGGATGATCACTTAGTGGATTTTGTCTTTGAAATTATTTTGCTAAAGTATAAAATAGTTGAAAATGAGTAGAATTTATTGTTACTGGACGAGAAAGACCTGGGAGAAATAGTAAAAAATATGTCTCGACATTCTTTTTTTAAATGCTCAGTTGATTTGTTAATCTTTTTTCCACTCGATTATAGCTTCAGAATTATTCCTTTGCTTGACGATCTGATCGAAATACGATTTGAAAGATAGTCCCTGCGTAAGACCCAGAAGACCATGCTGAATTTACGATTTGGGTCACACATGAACAAGGAACTTCTTCGCAAAGTCTCAGCTTCCTAGCTCGCTTGGTTCTCGAAATCGCCTTCCGACCTTTCACATGTTCATGTTTATGAACTGGGGAGGTGTGAATGCTCGTTTT